ATGTGATGTTATTTTCCTTTTTCTTAATTGAAGAAGGGTACCTGAAAATTTGCAGTTGCAGGAAATATATTTATCGCTATGATGGCGAGATATGTATGAAGAATTCAAATAACAGATAAGTTGCTTTTTTAATTGAACCGTTTCCAATATATATACTTTTTTAATTGCGTTCTATTTGAACGGAAAGTAATAATGTTATGGTGCATTTTTATTATTTTCAGACTTGTCATTTTTTTTTCCAATTTTTTTGTTTATTCAGGTTTGAATATTTTGTCCATGTGCAATATTTTGTATTTAATCTTTTTGTTAAAAAATCATATTTACCATGATCTAAATCAATGTTCTCGCTCAACATTGTTATATATTTGTGATGGCTTTTTTTAAACACTTTTACAAAAAGCTTTATTTTTTAAGGTGCATGTTATATCTTATGACGCAAAGATAGTATGACCTTTGTATTGAATTTGTCAAACCATACAATATTGTACACTTAGCACGATTTATTCAATCGATAAAACAAAATTCAGCTTAGAACATTTGAAGTGTGCACGGTTTTAGTGCTTCTTTCAACTCGTACTTGTAGCAGATTACATATTTCATAAATAATTTGCCAACATTTAGCTGTTAAATGTTAAAAGAGATGTGATGTACTAGATACCCCTTTAACAACAAAGCGTACTGTAAGGAATGAAACTACCGAAGTTGTTTTCTTTCTCTCAATCTTAAATCAGACAAGATAAGATACACAATGGAAAAAAAATAGTTTGCATTTTTCCTTTCGTCTCACGCTGTATATCGTCTAACTTTTAAGGATCAATTGAGTTAAAAAAATGTTTTAAATTGTTATAATTTACAAATTTGCCTTAAGCCTTAGGGGTCATTAGTTCATATATTTTCAGTGATAAACATTTGTCCAGACGGTGTTAGGGTTGGGGCATTTGATATGTTTTCCATTGGCCTTTCCATTAACCATCTTGAAAATACTCAATGATACTGAAGCTGTGTTTTGTATGCTTTATATTCATTGTTTAAAGACTATTCTCCTTTACGATATTTTTGTGGATTTTGCTTGCCAGGATTGCACGAGGCGAATAAAATGCCAATGATGTCAGTCCCTCATCAAAGTTCTCGTGCAATGATCTTTTGATCAATTACCCTTGAATTGCATCTTCATTGCAACGTCAACAATTACAGATAATAAATTTTCAATTTTTTCGAGGCTATCTGTTTGTGTATTGCAATTAGTATGTGCAATAACTGTATGGCAAATCTTAACGGTTTAGTAATTGTTTGTTTCATATCTTTATAAATGCGCAAATAGTTCATGATTTTGCTAGAGGACAATCTATTTCAAATATAAGTAACGTCAAATATGTACTGCCGACGTGGTCAATGCGTTATATGTAAGATATGGCTCCTTGGATTTCGCGGCATTAGAAATAATTTCCGGCATCATACTCCGTTATCGTGTCTCAGAGGAAATATCTTTATGAGCAATCTTCCTCGCATCTATTAAGTACATGAATGCAATAGTTCTTGTTAACAACCATTAAATAAGAACAAATTTGATAAAATGATTTCGGTTTACTCGGTTGGGATTATTGTGAACGCTATATTTATCAAGTACATCACAGTTCAGAAAGAATGTTATTATGATATTGCCAGAGATGTTGAGAATTGTGAAAATTTAATCTTTGGATATCGAATAACATACATAAAATATGCACTTTAAGATAGTTGAACTCGGTTCAAAACAATATGCGCTAGATTGAAAGCTATAAAATATCTAAATGTATTTTATTGAAAATGTATGTGCTTCATGTAAATGTGAGATGTTTATTTAACGATTTAATATTAATTCTAACGCCATTATTGTAGATTTTATGTAGATATGAATTTAGTTATGTCTCCCATAATTTTTGGAAGACATTGTTTTTGCCTTCGCCGTCTGTCTGTCCGTCCGTCCGTCCGATTGTCGGTCTGTCCGCATTAAGCTTGTCCGCCCTTCACAGGTCTGACTACTGGTGGATTTCAAACAAACTTTACAGGAGTGATCGTTGTGCACATTATCGGCACTTTCTGCTTCGCTGCACAAAATGGCCACCAAATCTATAAATAGAAAAATCTTGTCCGGCCTTCACAGGTCAAGGCACTGGTGGGATTTCGATGAAACTTCACATGAGTGACCATACATAGTTTGGAGAGACATATGTTTTTGTGGCAAAAGTTTTTTTTCTTGTTGAATGTATAAACGTTAAATATTCTCTGAAGCGTAAAAAATCATTTTTCTAACTTTTCTCTGAATGACGTTCATGTTTTTCCTCTTGTACGTTTTCTGTTATGAATGTTGTTTAATAATCATAGTGCGTGCTTGTTTTTTTTTAAATAAAAATGTGTACCACTAGCACGAAACGAAAGTGTATAACTAATTATGACCCTTTGATAACAGTGCTCATTTTCAAAATTTTAATAAGGACCTTGAGCCTTCGAAAGACCTGTTTAGTAGTCTAAGACCTATTTCAATAATATGAGTCGGTTTCGAAATAAATGAAGGCATTCATGTATTCAAATGAGGTCAATGCAACATATACTCCTTTATTGAAGAGTATTCATTATTTAAATATAAACAACCAATTTCTCGCAATAATGAAAACAATATAATATCCTTGAAACTGTTTTCTCAATTTGTTTGAACTTTTGAATCGAGATTTACTAGCGTTCTAAACTATTTTACATTTAAATTTCTCAATAAAATTGTGATCTATTATAAACGAAATCTCATTTCAAAACAGCTGCTTTAACAATTTAAGGTTATTTGTAGCTGAGATATGCATAAAACAATTATGCAACCCTTACACAGCATGAACGAATGCATCAGACAATTACACAACATTGTTAACATATACGATAGCATTTAGTGTATTTTCTTCTGCAAGATCAACTCGGCATTTAAAGGTGTAGCGCTTTATTTCTACTAATTAGGATTAGACTTATATACCTTAAAGGCGTATCAAAATCCATTAGTATTATGGCTTTTTCTCTGCATTGAATTTGGAATATTCCATTTTGTATTTAAGGGATAACTTGATTCAAGCAACCTTCTTGGCATAGCTTTGTTTGACTGCAAGGGTGTAAATGTTGTTCTTTGGCTACTGTTGGCAAGTTGGCGAAAGAAATTAGATATTTCCTGCCATAACCCAACGGGCGACTAGTTGTTTTTATGTGTAAACAAAAGTGCTCAATGTTCACTTTGTGTCAACAATATAGTCCGTAAAATGTAGAGTAATTTACGGAGTGTTAAATGTCCGCTTAATTAAAATTAAGAATGAAAATATTTAAAATAATTAAAAAATGCTTTCTAATTGATTTGTTATTTTGATATAACATAGCCAATAAATTACTGAAATTTGTATTCCACATATGTGAATGTATTATTTGTAACAGGCAGCATGTGCGCTCTAAATACTTTTCGCTCTCTGTAAAGTAGAATTTATACAATTCACGATACAAATCTTTTTTAACCAAGAATCAGTACCTTAAGATTAACAATGGCCCTCTTCTGTGACTATACATAATGAACGATGAATAAGATAAGAAATTTGACGCAGTGCTTGAAATATTTGAAGACTTGAAGACTCGATCGTATCGTGTGCAAAAGTATGACATGTTAGATTGAGTGACATATTATCAGTCCGTGAAAGCCGTTTGTATAGTAATATTTCTTAATGTTCTTGACAGGTCATGATGGGATGATAAAAAATTGAAACAACAGGAGAAACATTAAGACATACCTAAAATAAAACAGTTAGTTATCTCATTTCAAATTGGCATCATAATGTCACTTTTAATATATGTCTAAATGATCAAAATTCAATAGGTATATTGTTTTTTCCCTAGAAAAGAGAATAACGTATAAAAATGCAACATTTTAGTTTTATCATTGTTATGGAATATGAACCAAGGGATTTTGTGGCTTATATTACAAAATATGTCGATCTATGTCTTTTCTGAATTTCGTATGTTTTAAAAATGAATTCACGAAGTTTTAATTGTGAATAGATGAAATTGGGAATTCATTAAGTTGATATGTCCCCATCGGTCTTTCGTAGTTTATCATACAGGTGTATTACTTGTTTACATGGTGGAGTTACGATCACATCCATAGTCGTGTTATAGAAAAATAGAAAACATTCACAAAGTATTTTGTTACTTTTTCAATTCTGCCTTACATTCACGTAAATAGCCGAGTCATATTTGCGCGAAATGTATTTAACCAAACAAACCAGGTCGCACTTAGTGATAACTTGTTACACCGGGGAAGCATATTTGAGAAAGAATGATACAATCATACTTCTTATTCACTCGAAATTGCATTAATTATATCATATATCACAAGAAAGTAACAAAAGGTAATAATTTCAATCCTTGGAAAATTGACCAGATAGAATACTTTTTTTTTTCTTTTTTCGATTAATATAACATTGAATCACTTAATATTTCTTAAAAAGACAGTATCAACAGTTGGTATTTCTTTTCTTTCACTTTTGAATTACAATGTTACGTTTGCAATATTAAGAAAAATAGTGTATGTGCTTTTTTGTGTATGTACTAAAGATCTTGTTTGTAATAAAGAATTAACATACACATATGTACAGTTTTATATTATGTACATAGTTATTCTTATAAAACCATTTCAAAGCATTCGACCATAAAAGGGTTACAACTACAGGACCTTTAAAACATGGAATTGTGTTAAATTAACAATATTTGTCCTGCGATACATTGGCATTATGTAACTCTTAATATCTAGATTGAGAAAATAGCAAATAGTTCTGTTTTCATTTAAAAAGCATTTATATTCGTTTAATTACAAAGCTTTTAAGCTAAAGATGTTCCGATATATATACATTTTAAGTGAAGTGTTAGGGATAACCATTCTTTACATATCCTGATATTTATTAGAAAACATATCAATATATCAATATTTTTATTTGTTTCAGACATATAAAAATAGAACGGGCACATACTATTATACAGATATCATACTTTTGCCAGAATAAATATCAGTAAGTATAAAATTAAACCTATTAAATCTGCTCTCCTGAAGAACTAGATACTTCAATTCAATCTATCTTTTAGATAATAAAGTTATGTCTTGGTACAAAAATTTTGATTGATATGTTATAAAACGATAAATATTGTTGGTTTATAATTAGTTTAACTCCACTGGTGAATAAGCTTTAACAGCAAAGTAAAACTCACATGGTGCAGGTGTATTGATTAATAACAGCTTACATTTACTGCCTACAATATTGAGCCATTATTTTATTAGATACAACGAAATGTCATTTTACCTCTGCATTAGGCCTATTTAAAAATAGTTAATATGACCGGAAAGAAATGTTAAGTACAAGCTTATACCATATATAAAATAACGTTACAATATGTCCAAAGATTCAAAATGAGCATTATCTATTGCTGCAAAGATTTCCTTTAATACCAATTGTTAAGCTATCTAAGATGAAGTCATGCAGTGATTATTATTTCATTTTGAATAAATAAATTGTTTTAAATTTTTAATGAATGAAACATGGCAATAGTGCAAATCGTTAAAGAAATGTCAAATCACAACAAATTGTATAATAAAGTGGGCGTTTTTAAATAAATGTTCAGGTTTTGTTTTACAGAACTAATTCAGGGATCTTGAACATTCTAGTAACATGTTCCTATAGGCCGTAGTGTAACCTAGTCGTGTGTGCTTCTTTAAAAAAGATACCTGTTCCATGTTATATTAGAATGGTAACATATCCACACTAAAATACTTATAATTACAATTATGTTTATAATTTATCTGAAATTATTATGGTCTGAAATTATGTTTATGCTAATGGTAAAGGTTGTTGACTTCGCTTGCCTCTTTCTGCTGTTCAAATCCCGTCGGAGACTTTGAACCCTTGCTTGTAAATTATCAAGGCGGTTGAAGAATTGTTCTTCATTCCGGGAGATAATGAATTGTTTTAAAACAAAATACTATTAATGATTTCATAAATGTTCTCTTCTAATCACTTTAAACTTATACATGTTTCTTTTTCACGAAATACTGTTTAGTATTATTCAACTATAGTTCTATTTTTGTATAAATATATGAAATTCTAAGGGAAAATGTGTCTAGTCCAAAATTCTAGTCCAACGTCAATTTAATGTTTGCTTTTGTATACTACTATATATGTTTTGTTGTCGAGTATAAAATCTCTTGTTCAATTATGTTGGTTATGATGTAATGTTATGAGGCAAGAAACGATCCTAACTTGTTATGAATATTCTCTTTTTTATCCCATATGAATATTTCATGGGAATTCAAATGAACTTTGAATCCTGAAACTACTGCAGCTTGTCATTTTGTCGTTTTGTAATCTCATGCAAATTTTATCTTAACTTTGTCTTGTCAAAATGGTTTCTAAGATGCAACTTGAAGCTGATATTTAAAGAGGATTTCAATATTTAAAGTGGAAGAAAATTCCAGAGTTTCCGTTTTCCGTTTGCAGAGAGGTGTTTCTTCTGCACAAAAACTGCTGAAAACCAGTAATTCTTTTGCAAGTGATGTGTTTACTTTCAAATTCGGAGAGATATTTTTAATTTGAACTTTTCACATTATTGTTCACTGAACTTTTAAAATAAAACAAATTTATGCACCGTCACTAGCCATTCTCGTGGCAGAGTTGTTTGTATTAGTGAAGCCTGCTTAATTGATTTAAACGCACTTGAAATGCGAAAAAATTTTAAAAACGAGACACTTGTTAGACTCAAAACCATCCTCATCAGGTAGATTACGAGAACAAGCGTATATTGCAAAGAATTATAAGAAGTTAGCAGAATAATTTTATCTTAAAAGTGTATAACTATGCAATTAACGTGAGATACATGTATTTTAATACCATAGTATTAGACATTTAATGCTGCATGTTATGATAAGCCATTTTAAAATTGATTTTATATTAGACATTTTATCCGTATATGTATATGAACATTTCAAAATGAGGCATATTTTTCTACTTGACTGTTTTTCTAAATACCTTAACAACAGTATATAAACGATTTGAACCCCAACCGGATCTTGTGAGAAGATGTCAGTGTCAACCATTTTCTGACGCTTGACTTATTTAATATATTGGTATTTATATTGATACTTATGGACGTTAGGTTCGTAAATCTTTATTTATATCGTAGAAGAGAAACTTTATTAAACGTTTAAGTTATGCAAAATATAAATGTTAGCATTAAAGCTATAAAATAATCGAAACTCTCGAACTGCTTTCATGTGATCAACACTGAACACGAACAAAAATCTATCTTATTTCAAAGTTTATTTAGTTAAACATTGAATTGTGATATCGAACTGCTAAAATAATCAATAACAAACGATAATTTAGTCATCTGCAAAAAATATTGCTGTGTTTTGAACATTAAATTAAGAGTTTAACCAAGGAGGTCAATTCCGTAAACTGAACGTTACTTGCTGGTGATTGTGAACCCTACTTGTGAGTTTACGAATTTTATCTGTACCCTGACTTGTGAGTATTTTAAAAGATTTAATGGAGAGAACGTTTATCATTTAACGTATTTATTTGTTTATTTACAGGCAAAATGGAAGAATTCAGTTGTCTTAATTGCCCCCTTTCTCTTAAAAAAATCGGAAACACTATTGTTCACAATTATGACATAAGAACAAAAGCTTAAAATAACAATTTCTCAGTTTGACAACAATACAAATGTACTCCAAAGACTTATTCCAAAAGAATTGAAAAAAAAGGACTTTAAAAGCAAATGATATTACAAAAACAGTAAAAGTTTCAAGACAAGAAGGACTTGAAACATAATCTCCAATCAAGAAATGTCAAAAAAACAAAACGCCTGTTCACACATCGGCAAAAGATACGTTTTTAGTACAGATGACTAAGAGTTTAAGTTTAAACTTGGAGTCAAATTATTCCACAGATCCCACATTTAAGGAATGTTTGTTACACGAAAGCTACTGTCAAGACCCTCAACTACAAATGATTCATCCAAATCCATCTGAAATACATGTATATGGCAATTTATAGAAAGGAACTGGATTTATATATATCTTTTGACTTAAGATCACTTCTGATAGGCAATGATAAACTTTTCAAGTTGTGTGAAAAGAAAACTAACAAGTTGTTTTAGACACTGGCAAGACTGTTAACTATTTAAAAATAAGTGGAAATAAACTTGCAAGAGTGAAAACTACCTTTTACACATTTAACAACAATATGCAGGAAACTCCTTAAAATGATTTATTATGAGTGATCCTAGTCGCGCATGGTAGAAATAGAAATTCAAGGCATTTATGAGAATATAAAACCGTGTTTCAAAAAGCATAATGAAATCAACGGTACGTGTAAAGCTTTCAACATGTTGAAATAAGTAATCCTGTGATGATCTTTCGAGGAGGATGGATTGATATGTGACGTTATATAACGGTCACGTCAAGACTAACAACAATGCCGTTGAACTTAATAGTAGAAACGTTTATGGTACTTCTGTTATACCTTTGCTTTATATCTTTTCAAAGAAAATCAATGGTAAATGAAGATAAAATTTGTTGGTTGATAATTCCTGTCAAGAAATAATTTTCTTTCTAATTCGTATTACCAGCTACTTCATGCTTGTATTTCCATGGAAAGTGTCCATTCATGTGCAGTATTGGTTACTTATATAGAACTAAAAGATGTGTCATGCTCTTGTGACACAATAACTTCATATTCTGCAAGATATAATTTGGAACATAGGACAAAAACAATAAAAATCATCAAAAGTGACTCGCAAGTTATGGTTCAGTGAATACACAAGTAGGGTACAGATCATTAAAATTGTTTTAGCAAGACGGGTACAGTTATCAGAATGTTCGCCTCTATTATTTACTGTGTTTTTATCAATATTCAAAGATATCCACACAAGTGTCTGTGCGGTAAGACAAGTTTAGACAATAAAGTTAAGATTCAGATATGAGTTATAGTGCAATAAAACAATTTTAGGCATAAATTTGCTTGTGTAATCGGCGTGTGTTGACATAAACAAAACACGAAGCGAAGAGCAAAGCTTTTTATGCGCATCAATTTAAAGAAGCTGGATATAAATGTATCTATAAGCAAAGAAAAAATATTTCTTAATATGATTCAAATGTTAACATACCGTCTCAGATTAAATGCAAGCCGTCTTAAAAAAGTTTTATTGGTCACCCCGCCTGTTTGTACTGAACTGATGTTGAGATCTTCTCACAAGATCCGGTTGGGGTACAAATCGTTTATATACTGTGTTAACATTTACAGATGTGACATACGTCGCTGAAAACAATCATGCCATTGAATTCGGCTGTTTAAAGTTGCCTGGTTTCCAGTGCTTTCGATGCTTTGATTTTTGTAAGATACCAGATAGGAATTTAACAAAAAGGCTTACTGTTGTCCTTGAAAGTATTTTGTATCAATTTTTATTTGTATTTTAAAAATAAGTGTTCATGTCAGGTAGTGGTCCATAATTCTAAACTCATTTTAGTAACCTTACAAGATTGATATTATTAAGGTTTTTGTATACTTAAAAATTAAAATTCTTCAACACGTATTGTCTTCTTCAGTTGGTTATTTCTAGTGCATATCGAGAACAAAGTTACAAATTTGTACAAAAAAAACGGTAATTTACATTTCATCTCTTATATATTTACATTGATGATTTCCGCTGAATATTATAGCCTGAATCAGTTGATAAGTGTACATTCTTAGATTGTTTTGTTTCAATTATTCCTTTTTTAAAATTGTTTTTTGTAGTGTGAGAAAAGAAAGCCGTATTTAAGACTTATGTTTCTTCACCTTTTAAACTTACATTTGGGTGTAACTAGTTCACAAGTTACAGAGAGATATTTAGGTCCACTGCATGTTGCACTGTTGGCAGCATTTTTCTTCACACTAAAACTTGATAGCCTAACATCAGCCACTATCATGTTTAGCAACACGATGGTATGAATATACCGTTCGTCTTTATAGCAACATAT